GTTTTGACGAAAAACACTCGATTTTGATGTACTTGATAAGCATAGGTACAGACTCAGTCCTCAGCAACGTGTGTCGACATGCGTTAAATTAAATTACAGATTTTAATAGCAATACAGATGGGGTGAGACTACAGCCCGGGCGGAGAGAGACCCCCAAAATTTGAGAGTACTGGGAACTAGTTGAATTCATTTCCGGTTTGCGAAATTTAATATGTATTGGGTCATCTCTGTAAAGTCTGGCTGCAGGATGAAGAATGAATCATGCGATGACTTAAGAGAAAAAGAAATTCAATTTCTTAGACAGAATTTAAAACAATTTACGCTAAAGGATAATTATTGTTGTGGATATTTTGAGGGCCAAAAGGAAATTTTTGAGGAATTTCTTGACAATTTTCAAGTCATTAGCTCCACGTGCTTCGTGCATAACACGATTAAATCAAAGGAAAAGGGACACGAACGTTATTCAAATTCAGGTAAATATTACAATTTTAATTAGTTTGCAAAAACGGTTTTATTTTTTCTCCTTCCTATTTTAATTCAACAAAACATTACTTGATAATTTAAAGATCAGTACTAATTTAAATTACATGAAAGTACTCAAGTGCATCAAAGTTTCGTCATAGTTTCGCGTGACATTAACAGTTAGAATCATTCATAAAAAAACTAAAAAACATTAACATTCCGCTTGATTATCATGATTTATAGTTGAACCAGTGTTCAATGACAAGCGAGGAAATATACCTATAGACACTTTTGGTAATCCTTTCATTGTCGTAAGTAACGAGACGAGGCACTGTCGACATGGACCTGTCAAGGTGAGCCTTTTACTTTATAGATCTCAGAGAATTGTAATTGCAACTGATGAACTTTTTTATATATTATAATTCACAAAGCTGTGGCATAGCGCGATATAGCAAAAAAACAATATTAAAGATAAAGTTTAAAAAATAAATGTTAGTTTTCATTGTAATAGACTTATTGTTCAATGAAGGAAAGATTGCTTGGGATACGATGTCAAAATCTTTTACAATTTGAAAGCCTCAGGAATTCTATAATTCGTACAGCTGTGAACCCTCTGGACATACGATGATGTTTTTTAATGTTTTTGCATACCTATTTGCCATAATACTCTTTTCTCGTAGTACGGAAAATCAACTTAAAACGTTTTTAGAAATTGTTTATGATTTATTAAAAAAACCAAAACGATTTGTCCATGTATGTACGTATCTATTCATCCTGGAAGTATGGTGTAAAATGAAACCACTTAACTAGTAGTAGAATTGTTTTCTGCCTCATGGAATTGACATTGAAGTTTATATAAATATACATATGTATAAGTAGGTTTCAGTTGTATTTTAAAAGCTTACATTCACGGTACGTGATTACGGTTTTGTTCAGGATAATCGAGGAGGCTGGCGTGCCAAAAAACAAGGTGAGCATGACTACGCCAGTAAATCAAGGCTCCACCTTCAGTCATCAGCCAAACTCGATTGCAAGGCAGCAATCCAGATCAGATGTATTAAAGTGTTTGACGATCGCGAGTACGGCTTTGACGTGGAGAAGTGTCCCAGCAAAACAAAACTTAAAAAAGAAAAAGCAAGGATTAAGAAAAAATTGACCGAGGATATGTTGGTAAAGAATCCCGCGACCTCTAGGCGTTACTATGTGAGACTCCCTCTAGTTTCTGTGCACTGTGGTCATCCAGTGGGAGAACCATCGATGGTATCGCAGTATATCGACAAGAACATCAGCAAAAAAATACATGAGCTTGTCAAACGAAACATCACTAAAGTCCCCGAGGTGAAGCGCTTTCTAGAGAGTTATGTGGAAAAAGAGCTATTTGGCAGTTCTCCACGACGCCCCCTTAAGAGTAACAGGCGTTACTATCCACGAAATCGAGACATCAGGAATCACATCGCGAAAGCTCTTATGTCATTGAAGCGGTGTGATGATGACCAAGAAGCTCTTAAGAGGAAAATACAGGAGTGGTCTGRGAATACACCTGATGCAAAGTTTCACTACCGGATGCATGACCAAGTTAAGCAGGAGGACGGGTCTTTGAAAGAGGCACCATTTCTGTACGTCCACCAAGAACCTTGGCAGCAGAGACTCCTCATGCGCTATGGTAGGGACGTTGCCTTTATGGATGCCACATACAAGACAACAAAATATTCCCTTCCCCTTTTCTTTGYATGTGTTCAAACAAACATAGGGTACAAAGTTGTTGGCCAGTTTATGTGCCAAAACGAGGATCAAGTCTCCATAAGTGAAGCCTTAGCTATCCTAAAGAAATGGAATCCGGAATGGAAGCCAAAGTACTTTGTGGTAGACTTTGTGGTCTGCCTAGCAGAAATAGGTGCCCTTAAGGAGCAGTTTAACAACGCCACAGTATATATCTGCGACTTTCATTGGATTCAGGCTATGAAGAGGTGGGCAAAGTCTGGGAAACATGGGCTATCAGCGACAGAGCAAGATCTCTTCATCGCCTACATGCAGAAAATCACATACGCACCTTCCCAAGCAGCTTACGATAAAGTTGTCAGTAGCTTACGGGCCTCATCTTTATATAAATTTAAAGCTAATGTCAAGACTTACGTTGAAAAGACATGGTTATCGTGTGCCTTCCGTTGGGTAATATTCCACCGACTCGAAAAAGATGTCAAAATAGCCACAACAAACAACGGTGTAGAAGCTCAAAATCGTCGGTTCAAATACGATCATCTACCAAGATCAGTAGATAAGTCAGTCTTTGGCATTGCCACCATTCTTGTAGAGTCTTTTCTCCCTGAGTCCCACCAACATTATGTCGACACGAATGTGCGCCTAAGTAGCTGCTACAGGAAATACACCTCCAACATACCTGAATATCTGCATAATCGTCCCCCAGCGTTTGTTAAGCATTGTCTGAACAGTAGATATGCAGCAGCTTCCTACAATGATGGTGATGTAAAGGCGGACGATATAAAAGATGGTATTTTCACCGTGAAAAGCCAGACTGACCCCAAGAATGTGACGCACAAAGTTGACATGAGCTCTCCAAACTGTAGCTGTGACTCATGGAAAAAAACCCGCTTCCCGTGTAAACACTTCTTCTTGGTGTTCTCTGCCTTTGRAGAGTGGGGATTTAACTCACTTCCAAGTGCATACAAGGACAATGTATTCATTACATTGGACATTAGCAACGCACGGAATGCCACTGTCAAACATACACCAACTACCACAYCATCTACATATACAGGACAGTCCATGCAAAATAGTGAACAGTCAAGTGCCGAGGAGGAGCCCATGCACGAAGCTGACRAAGGCTCATTAGACGAGAGCGTATCACAATCAGTCGACACCRCAGAACCCGTCAGTCTAAACAAAGTTACGCCGTCAGTTTCAAAACTCAAAAGGAAGGTCATCGGCCAGCTTGACGCATTGAAAAACATAGTGTTCCTGGTTCAGGATTCCAATGTGCTGGCGTCAGCATCAAGGGAGCTGGAGGCATTGCATACTTGCATACATTGCATACCTCGCAGGACGGCCTACCACTAAGAAGTAGTCCAGCAAAAAAGAAGCTGAAAGTAACGAGTGTTGATTACCACCAGGTATTCCACAAGAAGCTTCCCTTGAGAAGGTACATCCATATTTTGTTCTAACATGTTGTAAATTAAAGTATTGTAAGCATATTTCTGCTTTTGTATTTCTAGGAAACGGCCGAAAAAGAAAAAAGAGGTTGTCAAGATCGACATAAGTAGTGATGAGGAATTGCCTCAGTCGCATGACGGTGGTGAGGAGGCTGACAAACCTGTCGCGGAGGTATGCACATGCGACCGAGAGATATCTTAGTATTTTAACATTTTTCATATCATTTTAGAGACATATTATAAATTTTTAGGACACCAAAGTAAATTGTTCCGCTTCTGCCGAAGATGAACAAAGGAAATGCACAGCCCCCAATGATGATGAAGACGACACAAGGTTAGTATTACGGGAACTTACAGCGCAGATAGGGGGAGGGGCTTTGAGCATTCCCTCCCTATAGTGGATACACCTTTGCATTTGTTTCTTTCAGTTTTTGTTTGTTTCTTACTTCCATTGTCTTTTTTTTAATAGTGAAACGAACGAGGAAGACCGTCCGAAAGCCAATCCATCTACTAGGCTTTTGTATTCTGGTCAAATAGGTTTGACTCTCCCTGATTACATGTTAGACATCGGCCCTGTACGTCTTTCAGTATTTGACCTGCTGACTCTCATTCCGCCACGTGGTGTTGAACAACTAGTCCAAAGTGGATTCAAGGTTCCTTCCGATTTAGAGAGGGGTTGGCTTTCAGATACGGTAAGTCCATATTTTGTATTCCACTTTAAGATTATTCTTCGATACATAATTCGCTGGCTGCTGACTAAACTTAACGCGGTTCTCACTTAAAGGTCATAGAAGCATTCTTATGGCAGCTTTGCTCAGATCACAGAAACGTATTTGCGGCTGACGCTTCTATGTGCACAGTTGTCCAACTTAATGCAAGTACCCGTAGACTTTGGCATGGACAGAGTTTTACTGACATCGATAAGATCATTATCCCTATGAATAAAAACGGGGGGCATTGGACAATGCTAGTAAGTATAAAGAACTACATTTAAGCTAATATTTCACCATTAATAAAATTTTATATGTTAATTGTCAGGCTCTAGACAGGGTAGCAAAAGTTCGTTATTACTTCGATTCTTTGAATAAAACTGGTGCACGACAATTAAAGACCACCTCCCCTAATGGTATTGCTGGATTAATTCAAAAACTAAGGTAAGTGTTTTTGTTTTGCATTTTGTGTTCTTTCAATCATTTTAGTTTTTAGTCCAGCTCTTACTGAAACGAAGTTTATCATTGCCACGCCCATCATCATCAGAAAATAAAGTCTCTCCATTTGTCTAAATATTTGTACTTTTCACCCTTTTTCAGTTCTACAGCTGATATCAAAACAGGCTGGAAGAGCACACAGTGGCCATGTATCCAGCCTTCACATGTTACCCAGCTTGATAGATATAACTGTGGAGTCTTTGTTTGCTTTGTGAGTATATCTATAAACATAAGAATTTTTTTCAATATTATTTTATAATCATAAAATATTGTTGCAGTTTGCGCGTTGCATCTCCGAGGGTGTCTCAATTCCTGCACAGACCTGTGATATTGTTGCCGAACGCGAGAAACTCACTGCACAAATATTTGGATTTTGTTATGACGATATTGAACAGTAAGCATACAGTGATTTTTAACATTTAAATGTATTGGTAATTAAAAGTATAATTGCCGCATGTATTTTGTTTATAACTTGTAATATCTCGATCAATTTCATTTATAGGAGAAACACAGGAGTGTGTAAAGTTTGCAGAGACGACGATGGTGAAGATTGGTTAGGCTGTGATGCGTGTGGCCAATTTTTTCACGCAAGTTGTCTCGACGTCGATTATGTAGAATGTTTGGCAAAGTTTTTTAGGTGTCCGTGTTAGCTACACATCCCCTGCACATTATAACTTGAATGAAATAAAAGTAACTTGCAGACACACTTACCTCCTACACAGGGAAACCGCATAATGGAAAGCCAATACATCCGATTCCCTCTATAATCTTCTTCATTTTATCCACCAACTACTCAGTAATATATAAAGGCAACTAAAACTTTGAATCAGAACACATTGGCCGCATTTCAGTGTTTTTTTTTTTATTGTACAGTGCAAATAGAACTATATTTTAAATTCTCGTGACATAAGTAGATGAATGTTGCGACACATTTTGATTGTTAAGATCATAATTTACATAGTTTAAAAAAGAAAAGTAAGATCAATATATTCTATTCAAGAAAACTGTAGTGTATTTCAATTCATAGATGTAAAGCATAATTTCAAACGTTATTTCGTCAATACGATCACAACTTGCGTGACACTGGTTATCAGACCGGAAATGAATTCAACTAGTTCCCAGTACTCTCAAATTTTGGGGGTCTCTCTCCGCCCGGGCTGTAGTCTCACCCATACAGATGAGGTGACGGTTTTGGCCGCCATCTTGGACCGGTAGGCATAGTAGGGAAGTAGATGTCAAAGAATTCTCGTTGAATTCAAATTCGGAAAAGTTAATATAAAAATTAGGTAACACCTAATAGCGGAGCTCCAATAGCAATATGAAGCTGAAAATGATTATCTAATACTGCTATTTCAAAGGTAGATGCTTTGTTCTAAGGAATGTGAGCTACAACAGTTTTGTTGACATGCGAACAAATATTATAAAGAGTATGTTTATGAGAATTTAGTTCGTACTAATATTGACTTCGGTAGACTTTGTTCCGTTGGATGAAGTTTAAAATTATAATCTATAAAGGTCAATTGATTAAAAGTAAACTGAAAGCTTCTCGGCAAAAAGTAGTCTACATAAGCTTACAATAATCAACAATAATCAATCAATCGATGTTTGAACCCGGACTACTCGAACTTCATATAATCACAGAAAACTGTATACAAAAATATATTTTTTACCTTCATTATCGAACTTCCGATAAATTATCGTTCAAAGGTCATCTTCAACAGAGCCATACTTGTTTCAAGCATAGGTCATTCAAGACTGTAGATTCTTTGTTTTTAATTTCTCTCAATCTAACTGCTAGCATGGTCTTGGTTTCGAAATGTACACACTTTTAGTCGAAAAAAGAACTTCGCATAGATCCCTGCTTTTTCCCATATTGGTCCATATTATTGAAGTATTTCCAATAAAGTATCATCTCTTTTTGATGTCGAAATATCAAAGTAAAATCCTTCTTTCTAATATCACTTTTAAGATGGTCTAAGTATGGGCCTAAATTGCTTTTCATCTTCGCAAATCGATTTCCCGGATGTGCGGACGCGTCGAAGTTATGACAAAATTATTGGCGGGAATATTTCTGTGTTGTTATTTCGCTCTTCAGTGGATTTTTTCCTTGTTATTAATTGTTCTAATATTATCAATATGTAATATAAATGTTTAACGAAAAAATTTCGATTTTTCAACAAATACTTGGCGCTTTGTTTCCTTTTCGAGCGGAGTATGGGTTTCCTGTGGTGGTACAGGGACGGAAGGACGGACGGAAGGAAACGTGCGTACGCGCGGGAACCCTGTGTCGGTCCATGGAAAATCGACTCGATGGTATACCATTTTTTCTTAGSTATGGTGCTCCGCTCGCGCGGGCCTTTGGCCCGCGCGGGAGCTCCGCTATTAATTGCAAACGTTAGATACTACAAAAAGGAGTTACCTGGGCAAACTTGAACGATATACTTCATCTAGGGAGCGAGAAAATTTATTTTTAGTTCTCAATACATTTCTTTGTATTTTTCACGCGCGTCACGCGCTGATGACCCCGGAAATTACAAAGAAATGTATGGGGTACTAAAAATGAATTTCAAATTTGGCCAGTTAACTCCTTTTTACAGTATCTAACGTTTGCAATTGTTAACTCTTTTMYGAATTTGAATTCAGCGGGAATAATTTGACATCGATTTCCCAGTCATTCCTTGTTCTTTTGCGACACTATGCCTACCGGACAAGATGGCGACCAAAACCGTCACCTCATCTATTAAAGGGACACTGTCAATGGATGACATGCGCAATAACAGTCTCACCTCTAACGGACTTTGAAAGTATTACCTTYGAGGTAAATCATTTTGTGGTGCTTTTGACACACTTTGGAATATTCTAGATCTGTTTACGTTTACGAGCTGATTTATGTCGCGCCAACTTGGAGTCATAAACTTGAAAACACTAGCCTTACTCGCATATGTGTGGCATTGACAGTGTCCCTTTTTATCTTAGAATCGATCACTGCTTGTACCACAGGTAGCCCAAACGTATTATCAGAGAACATTGACGAAATGCCTTGGACCATTATCAATTTTAAATTTTAGTATCAAAGTAGGTTCGTAATAATGCCTTGTGAAAAACACAGGTAGTCCAAGCTCTACAATCTTTTATGGAGACAAGAACAGACTTACTAAGCTTCATTTTCTGGTATATGAACTTTTCATTCACTGCTTATCTGTTTACATAGCGAACAAAACAACACAGTTGAAAAACATGTTTCGTCTTTAAAGGGACACTGTCAATGGCACGCATGCGCGAGTAAACTTGAAAACACTAGGCTAGTATTTTCAAGTTTATGACACCAAGTTGGCGCGACATAAATCAGCTCGTAAACGTAAACAGATCTAGAATATTCCAAAGTGTGTCAAAAGCACCACAAAATGATTTACCTCGAAGGTAATACTTTCAAAGTCCGTTAGAGG